TTAAGTAATAACCTATTATAGAAAGCCTATTAGGGATATATTCTGTAATTCTTAACAACTGTAACTGTAGTGTTATTGCACAGCCTTTTTACCACGTACAGAACCTGTAATAACAATACAACGCTATAGTTACAGTTGTTAAGAGTTACAAAATAGAAGCCTCCCCTTAAGAAGCTAATATAGCCCTTTGATTGATTCATGACATCTTAAGACCGTATCTAAGACAGTCTTAAATATGTATAAGAATTGATTATGAATATAACTGACCTAAGTAAGACATAAAGTACAACATATTTTTCTCAATATTTAAATTTCAATTTAAATAAAATGTTTCTATATCCAATCTTTTACTAAAAGAGATGATAAAATCTTCTGAGCTTTATAAATTTGTAATTGTATTTACTTTCTAATATCTTGCAGCCGATTGATGGCATTGAAGCGTATGGGTATCATTGAAAATTATGAAAAAATACGAGAATTAACGATAGCTATAGTTGGAATTGGTGGTGTTGGTAGTGTAACAGCAGAAATGTTGGCAAGATGCGGTATCGGAAAGGTAGGAGTATGATTATAATATAGATTATGTGTTAAATGAATCGTTTAATGTTTTACTATATGTTTTCAGTTGATATTGTTTGATTATGATAATGTAGAACTTGCAAATATGAATAGATTATTTTTTCAACCATATCAAACAGGCCAGAGTAAAGTGGAGGCTGCAGCTAATACCTTGCATTACATAAATCCTGATGTGGAAATTGAAATACATAATTATAATATTACGACTGTTAATCATTTTCAAAATTTTATGAATACAATAAGGTATATACATTTACAAATTCCTTTGTAATATAAATTATCTTGTTTTATACCTGCATATTTCTATGTTGAATTTTTTTTTTAAATCGACATATGTTTTAGTGGTTTTATTTAATTTAAATTTATATATTTTTGCAGTAATTCCAGTTTGAAAAATGGTCCAGTCGACTTGGTACTGAGTTGTGTCGATAATTTTGAAGCTCGCATGGCAATAAACACTGCTTGTAATGAACTTAACCAGAAATGGTTTGAGAGTGGCGTATCTGAAAATGCAGTGTCCGGTCACATTCAATTTATCATACCTGGTGAAACAGCTTGTTTTGCAGTAAGACTTTAATTATTCAATAACTGGTACCAAATGATTTTTTTATTTTAAGTGATATATTAGTTTTTCCACACATAGAACTATTGTATTGGCTCTTATAGACAATACACTTTGTTGATTTATTTTCACTAGAGCATGGCTTCTGATTAGAGCTTTATTATTTATTAAGTATCTCGTAAAATATTAATTTTCCGATAGCTTTATCTTAATACTTTTATATGCAAAATAGTTATAGGAATCATTATGTTAAAAAAATCATAATTCCATTATAAAAAACGGTGATAATCTTCATATGATCTTTTTTCAAAAATTTTATCATTGCGCCCCTTTAAACCATACAGCTTTTATCTAACACATTTTTTTTTTACAAAAATAAAATAAAGTTTTAGGGAGGTAAATTAAAGTGGGACACCCTGTGTCATATATACAGTGTCCCATTTTAATTATCAGACAAATATCTCGAAAAAGACGAAAGTTTCACGGACTGAACGGGGACGAATAATAATAAAATTAGTTTTTGAAAAAAAATCGATACTTTAAAGGTTATTTTTTAAAAATGAAAACATAATTTTTTTACTTAATATGATTTCTCTAATTATTCTGCACACATATAAATGTATTAAGTAGTTTACCAGTTTTAATATTTTAGCCTAACACTGCTGATACATATTGAAATATATCTAAACTGTCTCATAAACTATTAATATTTTTTAATAATATCCTAATACTTTTATAGGCAAGATAATGAGCTGAATTAATCGATGTAAAGAAAACACATAGTTATTTATTATTCAATATTCAAAGGACGTCAGTTGAATACCTCAGATAATGCTAATGTCAATAGAACTGTAACTTTAAAGCTTCAACTCGGAAAGTACTTAAAAATAATTTTATTGTATTTTTAAAAGTATCTTTAAGAGTATGTAATAAAATGTTTTTATAATTTTTATATGATCTGAACAACGCTTCAAAAGGTCATACTAACATTACTTATTATATAACACACAACTTAAAATCCTATAGCTTTTTTATATGGAACTTTTTTTTTTAATGCTTCATTTTCAAGATAATCGACTGTCACTTAAAATGAAACCTTATATATTTGCAAATTATGTATAAAAAAATAATATACCTATCTCTCTCAAGTAATTATTAGGTAGTTTTCTTGACATCGATTTATTCTTAACATTTTATTTTGTGTATAGAAGCATTATGATAAGAAATTAAAAAATAATTACTTAATTCGAATAAAGCTTTTTTTTTTCAAAAAATACTTTCGTTAATTCAATAGAAAAATGTGTGTATCACTTAAAACAAATCATTGACACATCATAAAAAAATCACTCTATAATGCTTTTTAGGCTTTCATGGATATCGTCTTCAAAGATACTAAAAGGTTTGTGGATTATCGCCGTGTTTTTATCCATTGCTAATACCAACGTTTCGTGAATCTTTCCGTTTACTTCATCAGGGCGAAGTTCACAAAACGTTGGTATTAGCAATAGATAAAAAAAAGGCGATAACTCGCAAACCTTCTGGTATCTTTGAAAATCACTATGATTTTTAATTTCTTTTAAAAAGATTCTATAATTACTCTATAAAAATTATTCTGCGGCTATTTTAATAATACATTTATTTGAATTTTCAGTGTGCTCCACCTTTGATTGTAGCATCTAGCATTGATGAGAAAACCTTGAAACGTGAAGGAGTATGTGCTGCGTCATTACCTACTACGATGGGTATCGTAGCAGGCTTTTTGGTGCAGAATACTTTAAAGTTTTTACTAAAATTTGGCAAAATATCTCATTATTTAGGTTACAATGCTATGGAAGACTTCTTTCCTACTATGATTTTGCGACCAAATCCAAATTGTGATGATGAATATTGTAAACAAAGGCAAAAAAAATATTTGGCAAAGCCAAAAATCCAACAGGACCAAACTGCTATTATTGAGAAACCTGTACACGAAGATAATGAATGGGGTATATAATATATATATATGCACACACATGTATATATATATATATATATATAATATATACAATGTAAGTTTTTTTGGGGAAAAGAAGGTTTTTAAATAGGAATCACTATTTCTTATTGCAATTCTTGTAGCTGAAGTTGAAACGTTTTCAAAACATAATAAAGTATTTTTTCATTAAGCACTTTTTAAGTTATAAAACTTGATAGTTCCTGAACTGCTGCATTAGCATTAGCCAAGGTGTATCACGTGGAGGTAATCTGTTGTGTATGCACATGTGTACGTGGGGGAGGGGAAGGAAAATCGAAAGTTACATGTACCCTGTTCTTGTTTCTATTCATATCTGGACTGATTATATTGATGATCAACCGGCTCTAGATCGACTGACGTGCATTTCCCGTGCTTAGCATTACCCACGATGAACGACGTAGATTTAACGGAGATTTCAATCCTTTAGGGTGCCTAATGTACACGAGTGTGTCAATAAAGTATTCCAAACAGTCGATCAAAAAGTGTAACTTTTCCACTCTCCCACACATGTACATACGTACACACAACATATTAAACCCGACTGAGTAACCTCCATGTGGTACATCTTTGGTAATGCTAATGTCAGCAGTACAGTAATTGTCAAGTCTTATAACTCGAAAAGTGTGCTTAATGAAAAAATATTTTATTATAGTGTTTTGAAAACGTCTCAACTTCAGCTACAAGAATATGCAATAAAAAATAGTGGTTCCTATTTAAAAAATTCATGTTGATCTTGATCTAACCTTGGTAATGCCCCATATACAAAATCTGTTATTTCCACCTTCTTTCCCTTAAGGAAACCTACAACTTTTATATAAAACTTTTTCCTATATCTCTCTTAGTTTCCGAGATATCTGCCTGGGACGATAAAAATGTCCCCTGTGTGTGCGTACATACGTGTGTATATATAGATAGTTACAATCTCTACTTAAAATATTTTTAAAACAAATTTTTTTGTTTGGACCATTAACATGTAACGATGTAATTGTAATTACAAATCGATGGTCGATGCGAGTCTAGAGCATGGTTGTGTGTATAACTAATTACTTTAAGTATACAAATAATTATATATATATATATATATATAATTAACTATGATTCATCCTACCTCTCTCCCTCCCCTCCCCTCTCTCCCTCTAATACAAGTTTTAATCTCTGCTAATTTTCAGTTGAAGGTCTTTAACAGACTGTATTATATGAAAATTATATGTACTTAAAAAATTTGAATTAATCGCACACCAACTCGCACTAATCATCAATTTGTAATTACAGTTAAAACATCTTATTTACATCTTTGAACAACATTCTTAAATATTTCTCTTAATAGGAATTTGCTTGGTCGATGAACAAAGTGGTCATTCAGATGAAAAAACAAACATATTATCAACTCCAGGTGTGCGACATGCATATACTGTACCAACGCCTACCTATGCAACCAATTCAGAAGAACAAATTATTCCTGAATCTACAGGATTAAGTTTAGAAGAATTAATGGCAGAGATGAAATCAATTTGAAGATAATTCAATGTAGACATGCTACATTAAAAAAATACTGAACTTCTTTTATATTTACACAATATATACTCTTTGTCATAGATGTATAAAATTACCCGTTACTTATAATTTATAAAATTATCTATATGTTTGTTACAAAGGAATTAATTTTTTAGTAAGAGTATAATATTTTACGTAATAGTAGCAATTTCATATTAATAGATTAACTAGTTAAGATATATATTAATTTTCATATTTGACATGAAATAATTTTTTTTAGTCATATATTTTTATATTGATTAGTAGTATTTATTAATTATATCAAAACTTTAATAATACTGTATAACAACAAAATTATACGTCAAATTTCTCAAAACACAGAGATGATCCCTCTTCCTCATATTCTTCTCTTGTCACTAAAAGATTAGGAAATATTGTGTCTTCTGAAAGTTTTTTTCCACCAAACCACGCATAAGTAACTGGACTAAAAATTGGAAGAATCTTATTAGTCTTATTAAACTTGATAAAATAAGAAGTAGCAGATGTAATATATATGTATACATATATATATATATATAAATAATACTTTTGTGGTAAATAGACGTTGACAGAATATTCAGCTGGAGCTAAACTTCTAACTTCTTTGTACACTCTGTCTTTAAATCCTGGAAACTTTGTATTACCACCAGTAAGAATAATATTGGATAGAAAATGGGGCCATGTTTCTTCACTACAAGCTTTTATGGAATCCATAATGGCTTCTGGAATACCCATTTGTCGAATGCCAACATCTGACGGATGAAATAATATTTCTGGTATTGCAAATCTCTCATTAGTCAAACGTAATATTTGCTGCTCGTTAGATGGTTCAGGATCTTTAAGATATCCACGTCGAAGAGTCGTATAATCTGGCAAAACGTAATCTTTAATAATAACATTATTCTCTAATTTATATCTGGCTTGTTCCATATCCTTAAAGAAGTCTTGCGATACAAAACAACAATCTTCTTTCACTTGATTAATCACATACGTTTCATCCATAACATGCAGCTGACGATAAGATATGATCTCTTTCAGATGATTTGTTAAAAGTTTGCCACCTACATCTATCCTTCGTATTCCTTCCTTTACTTTTGCATCATTAACATAAGGGATAATGTGTGTAAAACTATAACCACTATCTACTACTATACAACATTTTGTAGTAGGATACTCCATTCTATAATTATAACACGAAAGACTTGCTGCATTTATTCTTAAGAGACTGTGACATTCGTATTCCTCAAAGAAGATCTCTGTCATAGCTTCTTGAATACTTGGAAAATTAAATACAGGTTCGGTCACTATTACAGATAACTGATTTAAATTAACCGAACAAGAGTCTTTTGAAAACATATAGTCCCATACAGTTTTTTGAATGTCCCAATTCACTAGGTAACCTTTCTGAAAAGGTAAAATATAAAATAGTCCAGAGGCGTCTCTGCATTCTTCGATTTGATTTCCAATGAAAGGTCTACGACGTTCACTCTTTGCTTTCATTATGCAATTCGGGACAAATCTAAAATATTTTCATCGATTAATAACTAAATGCACCATTTTTCAATCAGTTGAAACGTAAGAGTCTCTTTTAATAGTAGTACTTACTTGGGTGTCTCGTTGGCTAAACCAACTTTTGCTGTGCAAGCACCGTTATCAAGAATAAAAGTAGAATTAGTCATATTCAAAAAAATATATAGTAAATGAGATTTCAAATACAATTTTTATGTATTTGCCAGTAATAAAAAGGGGCACGTCACACTTAACTAATAAAGGTAAAGTTTCACGGCTTGCTTTTCAGCAAGGACAAGCTCACACTTTTCAGCGACAAAAAGGATCACGTGGTCAAAATTGACGAATATCATTCGTCGGTTTGAGCAGCTCGTGAAATTAGAGGTTTGTTCGCGTCGCGTGCTCCAACACGTTCCAATATACTCCTAGCATAGCTCTTACTCACTCCAACGCACTTGATAGAGTGAGTAAGAGCTATGATGGAGCACGTTGGAGCCTGTTGGAGCCTGTTGGAGCATGCGATGCGAATAAACCTATAGAGTCCCTATATCATCGCGTCCAATGTGCAATAGGCATAACGCTGGTTCTACATTAGGTCTGTTCGCGTTGCTTGCACTTTTGGCACTCGGCGTCTTCGCTTTCTCTCTTTTCAAGGCCAAATATATATCTATCTCATTTTAAGTGCAAAAATATTTGGGGATTTCATGCAACGCGAACAGTCCTATTAAGCTGATTCTACATTGATCGCATCGCAGCGTCGCAAGCGTGTCGCAAGCGTGTCGCAAGCGTGTGTGTCGAATCAAGCTAACTCGACTCTGATTGGACCACAACGCTCGCGACGCTGCGATGCGACTAATGTAGAATCAGCTTAATTCATGGCCGGAATCCATAGTCCGGCCTTAAGCGGGGAGCACAGACTCCCCGCTTTAATCTCAAGCAATGTCTAGGCCGGAATCAGACTACGCATTGAAGATTGAAATTTGACCAATGAGGGCAAAGGAATTTTAACTCCAATTTTAATCTTCAATCTCAATCTTTACCCCGGATCCACCCGGATCTACAATAGAGTTTTAAGCCTATTAAGAAATGGACGAATCATAGTCGATTCGTCCCCTCGAATTCAACTATAATTGGTCAATTTCTTACGGCTTAGGGTGGAGTCCCATGAAGTGTATTTATCGCGTATCGCGTAAGCGCATAACCAATCAATAATCAGTAAAACGCGAAACTATAACAGCAGATCGCTTCTGATTGGTTACGCGGTTATGCGATACGCGATAAATACACCTCATGGGACTCCACCCTTAGGTCTTAAAACTTAATGCGTAGTCTGATTCCGGCCTATGGATTCCGCCATATAACTATACACTCCTTCTGATCTGACTGAGAGTTCTGAGAGGACGCCACTTCAAGTCATACTTGCGAATACAGCTGTACGCTGTATGTAAATTGTAACTATGTACCATGATGTACCACGTCTAGAAAAGTCGAAACACCGTCCGTGTTGTACATATATCGTTGCCTTTGTTTGAGGCAACTTGATGATATTTTTGCGTTCCTCTACTTTTATTTGTGAATGTGTACTTTCTCTCCAATCGAGAAACAAAACGGTTTTCTTTGGATTATTAAAATCGATTGAGGAGTGCGATTGTAGCGATTAACGTTCAACGAACAGGAGCCATTTTTGGTAAGTTCTGAAGAGACTTGTAACAGAATGCTATGCAATCGTGAAATCAATTGTCGCATAGTTAAACGGATTATAGCCTTCGTACCGTTTTCTTACTACAAACTTTTTGCGTTTTTACGTGCGTACGAACCGTCTAGGAACTAACGAACGAAAAAAATATTTTTAACAAAAAATGTTGGACGTATCTCGCACATTCGACGAGTGACTGATGTTGATTAAATAACTATCGTGTCGAAGGTATTCATTGTTGTTTTATATCATTGGCCAAAGCATCTTCGAAAACCTCGGCGTAAAATCTTATAAGAATAAAGAAAACGAGCTCACTATTTTTCGTTGATAAAATGCGCTTGTATGCGATGGTAAACCGGAGGTATAACCGGAGGTATAACCGGAGGTTACGGTACGTACATAAGCCCAATTTTTCATTGTCTGCTTAACTTGTGGTCAACATCCAATGGGCTTCACCTATGACATCATCACAGATGAAGCTCCGTGGATCAAGCAAAACATCAGGTCAAGCCTAACTACAAGTTAACCAGAAAATGAAAAACTGGGCCATACTTAGTGAGTGCTTTTCATTTAGATACAAGTCGACACAAATAAGTGTCATTTTATTTTTCTTGACGTTTAACAAGTAACAAAGGCAGCTTTTTTCATTAGGAAACATAGTCGACACAAGTATCATCCTGTCTTTGTACATCATTGAATGTGAAGAAGGATAGAATGATTTGTGTGTTGATTGTGTGTCTTCTAGACACCTGATTTTTTAATTATTTGGTTAACTTGTGGTTTAGACTTGTAGCGTGTTTGCAATTTGCTGACTCGAGTCTGTTTCTTTTAGTTGTATTTCTTATATTATATATACAGTTTAGTTCTTTTTTTCAGATAAAAAGAATAGATTATTGACTTCTAGATGGATATAGTCAGCAAATTGAATGCACTCTAAAGGTTGTGTTCTGATATTTACTGCCAGTACTAAAAATCTATTTGTTCATGTAACGTATACTATGAATTTTCAGTACTGTCAGTGGATAGACCACAGCCTGTACCTGTGGCACACGATGCTTATTTTCCTAATGGATTGCTTACCCGTGCGTTTGGAAATTATATTTGGATATTATTGAAAAGTCTATGATGCATGTATTTAGTAGAATTCTAATAATTTACAAAAACACAAGCAATTCAGTAAGAAAACAAGTATCGTGTGCATGCCATAGATTTTAATCTCACTTAACTCGATGATAATAACTGTTCTATTTGGCGCTCACAGCTCTTGTGAGCATCATTTGTCCTTGTTTAACATTATAATAATCAATAAGGATGAAATGATTCCAGTAGCGCCATGAGCGTCAAATAGAATGCAGGTAATATAAAAAAAAGTGTGTTTTTCTAGCTATGGTTAAGCACTAAAGCAATGGTTTTGTAGTTAATAAAGTTCAGTGACCAATCATAGCTACAAAATAACAATTTTTATCAAGTTAAATGAGTTAATGAACAAATCTAAATCACTAGTTAACCAGAAAATAAAAACATTTTAAAAGAGAGCCAAAGTCGAAACAATGTTTATCTTGACTTGTGTCACCAAACAGAAGGCACCTTTTATTTTGCACTGTTACCAATTATCAATTAATTATTCATCATAAATTTATCTGTCCAAAGAATCTATTCACATTATCTACCATCGATCGACGTTTTCATTACTTTTGATATTGTTACTGTAACGACGATGACATTTAATTTTTGTATAATTTTTAGATTATACTTTCTGTAAAAAGTTTCTTTTACATTCTTGGAATTATATATTTTTTCTAAGTAAGAATATTTAAAATACGAGCTAGCAAGTTCACGTATCCAGATATAATATCAGAATATAATATAATGGTTCATAGGTATAATATTTTAAGTACATAGTATTTACGGTTAGAGTCCGACCGACACATTTTGACCTCCGGCCAGGATTGGAAAAACTCTGGTTTTAAAAAAAAAACTCAACTCACACACTGTGTTTTATGAGGGTTTTATTGATTTTGTTTTTAAATTGATTATTTGATATTTTTTTCACTTTACGTTGTATTTATCATTACTTAATTACATATTCAAATAAAATTAATTATAAATGAATTTTGTAAAAATATTATGGTGATGAATTTTTCAAATATAAAAAAAACTTCTATATAATGAAAACTCAACAAATAGGAAATAAGAAATATCCATAACGGTTGAAATTGGATCTTTTAATGCTTAAATAATTCAATATGAATTTGTATATACCTACTATACAATATATATGTATGTACATGCATATATATCATACTTGTAGTACATTTGAACTGCGCGCCGAAATTTTGTCGGATTTAAAAACGCAGCTAAACTACCGAAATAAATTGAATTTTAATGCTCAATAGAGAAAACATTAAATGTTTTTAAGAAAATTGTCGAGGTGTAATAATAATTTCTTTTGTTAGCAACACATTTGTTACATTTAAAATATTTGGAGATATCGATGAATGCTGAAATAGTAATATTTCTTCCAATAAATTGTATACGTATATAAATATTACATATATAAAATAATAAAAAATATTTGGGTATAAAAAAATCAACTTAAAAGCTGTGAATGTATATTATATATTTTATAGATATTTAAATGTAATTTAGATTCAGTTTCAAGAAAATTTACGAAAAGGGTACTTATAAAACCAAATATGCATTAAAATAAAGTATGCTTTTAAATAAAATTATATTACACAGTTTTAAATATTACAAAATATTATATATAGGGGCGAGTTGTCGAATGCGTACTGGTCGCCTAAATCGTATCTCATCAATATTTTATATTATTAATTAATATAGGCAATATTTAGTAACAATAATATAAAATATATGAGAAATTATTATAGTAATGTAGACAAAAAAATATAATAGCCTTGTTGTATACACCTTGTTCTATGGATGTTAGCGGCGCGTTTTAAAAAATCAAGTATATCTGATATTAATTTTTAATCAACTTATGTAGTTGATAACAACGCGATCACCTATTTTATTATAAATTTTTGTATTTTTATAAAAGAAGATTTAGTGTAGAATATTTTACATTCACTGTATATACATATTTGCAACCATTGTAAAGATTAAATCGATATTTTTACAAAATCCATCAAATTTCCTAACTCGTACCATCAAAAGATAAAGACTGATAATTGACAATAATAATTGATATCAATATAAATGTCAAGTGCAAAAATATATTTAAGCCAATTTTATTGTGGTGGTTTGTTTTTTCATTATTGTTATTTAATAATTATAAAATATTTGATTTTCTTCAATAAATTATTAAAATTGGTATTAATTAATCTCATTAGGCATTAGTTAATGATTTCTTTTATTAATCTTATCGTTTTAATTGTTTTCATTCATAAATTCAATACTTTCGAAGGAAATACAATAAAAAATACCTATAGGTACGATTTAGGCATCCGGTTACTTAAATAACCGTATCTTTTGCAGCATGTTACAAAAGGATTTATAACAAATTAATTTGTTATTGGTGGAAAGTTAAATATGTAATAATAAGCGTTCAAAACCTCAAGTTACAATTTCTAATGTTCATTTACATA